TAAAACCAAACAAATGAGCAAAGTGAATCAGCTGTAAGGTGATCACCATGACAATATGCTTTTTAGGATGCCTTATTGGAGAGAGAGAGAGAGAGAGAGGCAGGAAGGCCTACATTTGTTTCATAGGTTCTGTTAACTTTGTATCAAGGAATTGGTTTTCCACTTGGGTATTCCAGAACCCTTGGCAGCCACAGCCTTGCTAGACAGATTTAAGAGGAGGCTGGATATTTTTGGTCTAAGCACCATTGTCTTTAGGCCTTGAATGCACAGGCCTAACCAGCATAGATGGGTTTCACTATCTTCAGAAATTTTGAGAACTTTATTTGTCACTTTGTCTATCTCTGGGTGTTATTCAGTTTTGCTTTGCTAGGGAAGTCTTGGGTCAGTGTTTCCACAGGGAAGCCAGTGGCCTCTTTAGAAACAGGGCGTTCTGTGCTCTGATGGATGGACAGAAATTAACCACAAAACCAGGATCTGTCAGTGGTCTTGATTATGCCACTTTCTCCAACAAGATCTCCCCAAATTCAATATTGTCTCAGCCACCAGCCCCCAGCTCTGCCTTAATATCTAATGCAACAAATTCTCAATACAATAGAATTAAACTCCCTTTTGAACTTACTTTCATGAAATTTAACTTGGACATGCAATTTGCCTTTGCCTTAACGTGACTTAAATTCTCCATGCCCAGCACTTAATACTACTTGAATCTCAATTTTAGGTGCAGAATCCCCTCCCTACAAAGTCCTGCTCTTTGTGACTCTCACACCTTTCCTGCTTTTAGTAGGTATTTGGTGAAACATTTCAATTTTTACGTTAGCCACCGAAAGGCTTCATGTGCATACAAGCCAATTTTGGGGGATGCTTTACAGTTTAAGTAAAAGTGTTTAAAATTTTTACTTAAGAGTTTTCTTCCTTTTACTCTGAGTGGCTATTTGGGATACCAGAAAGAGTTCTAAGTTTGGAGTTGCCTGGGTGCAGTTCCAGCTGTGCATTTCCTGTCTTTTGACCTTGGTGGGTGAGATTCCATAGGAGCCTTATTTGTAGCTTGCTCTGCTTTCCTCATCATGTGGTCATGATGAGTGTGTGGGACAATGCGTGTGAATGTACTTCATAAACTAAAGAGCTCTGCAAATGCCTTCTAACAAACTCCAAAGCTTCAACCGGTCTGCTCTGGGTGCATGGCCAGCTGTTGCATGTAGAACTGGACAGAATATGAGGCATGACCTTTTCCTCAACTACTTTTAAGTGTCATTGTGTTTATGGCTCTATGATTTAGCACCACATAAGAGGAAATAATTATTGCACTGCCCCTGAGAGTCTGGTGGGAGGACCAAATGCAGACAAGTGTTGAGTGGAGTCTATTTCCTAAATGATGTATGTGGGGCCATGGTGACTATGAGTAACACAGTTCTAAATGGGTCATGGCAAGGCATAAACATCACATGCTCCTCAGCCTGGACTTAGGGTAACATAGGCAGATATTGGATGTATCACCCTTGCACCAGCCAATGTGAGCCTTTCTCAAAGTAGAAGTGGGGCTTCTATGTCTTTTTGTTTGGGGTACAAAAGGTGTCTGGGATAACTGGAGAATTACTTTTCAGCAGGGTGCTTGCATTTCCCTTCAATCTCACAAATGTCCCCTGTGGGAGAACAGGACATAGAAGACTAGCTGACAGCTGGTGTCTAGGCAGCACAGCAGTGTGGCCTGGGATACTGCCCAACACACTTGCATTCCAACAACCTGACAAACAAGTGAACTTTCCAGCCTGAGCAATTTTAGCTCTGGATCCCTTCCCATTGTTCCCATTTCTAAATTTGAACCCTGACCCAGGTCTCTGGATTCCTGGATTCTTGTATTTCAGTAACATACAACCAATCTGAGTACACACTGAGTCCCCACAAAGCCAAGGAGAGAAATGCTAGTCCTCTGAGGGACTGCACTGCTGGAAGGACCCTGTGTGACCTTATCCATCAGCAGTGTCCTGTGTTCGAGGTTGCTGGGCCCTCTGGAATTTTATTGGGATCTGGGAAGGACAAGAGAGCTGGGGGTGGTGGTGAGTGCAGGGTGGTCTGCAGAAAGTGAACTGCAATAGCTCCTCAATTCCCTCTGCTACCTTCTGCCTAGCTCCTTCTACAAGGAAGACTCAGGTTTGCTTTGCAGACTAAATGAGATAACAGTGTAAAGTCAGTGGTGGCATGCCTGGCACATAGCAGATATTTGAAACTGGCAACCTCACCAGCAGCTAGCTGTTCCTCTACCCTCACGCAGAGCTCAGGCTGATGGCACTGTCCCAGCATCCCCCTCTTCATCCAGGTTCCCAGGCTTCTCTTGGCTCACAGGCACAGTAAGCAAATGGGAAGAACACTGTTCCTTTAGGCCAGTATAGCATCAAGAATTCCATGCCTTTGTTTTTCTGAATTACACAGTCACCTCAGTGGTCTGGGAAAACTGAATAAAGGTTTCTCTATGTTTTCAAAACTGTCTCAAAGTCAAAGAGATCAACCAGTTGAGGCAATCATGAGGAACATATTAGGGCTTTTAAACAGTCACTGAAAAGTCACTGGGACTGGCTCATCCTAAATTTCTCAGTATAGCCATAAATTTACTACCTGGGGTAGATGCGTGGTGGTGAAAGTCCATATCAAAGCTGTTATAGAAATGGTTCCCACCTCTGAGCTGCAGATGGTGTTTCACAGTCTGGTCACTTCTCAGAGAAAAATTACACCTCATAGAACATGCTTAAGTGACAATTTGCAATGAATCATCACCCCTCCCATGCTGCTCAGAGAAGCTGACAGAATGTCTTGGCTTCAAGGGCAGCTTGTCTTGGCCTCTCACTTAGCCCAACACTGGCCATATGTCACCCAGGACAGTGACCATAGCAATAAAATAGCTTGAGCACACACATAGCCATGATAGGGCTGTGGCTGGGGCCTAGGACAGACCTGACAACACCATGGGGATGTAGCAATCAAATCAACACTCCTGATTTACTGCATCAGTGGCCCCTTGCTCATTCCTGCTGCCTCACATTGGAGAATGTGGATTTGGCTCCAGTGGTCCAACTCACCAGCCCTCAGGCCCCTGCTATGTGTCAGGTGCTATGATAGGCAATGTAAAAATGAATAGGACATGTTCACACCCTTTAGAAGGTCACAGCCTAGTGGTGGGACAGCTATATCAGGAAAGCTATGAAGGAAAGAGATTATGCATATGGGCAAATAATTACAATGCAGCATGGAGGAGATCTTAGTCAAAAGTTTTAAACAAACAGGGAGAGGCCTGAAGGTTCCTGTCATGTTACAGAAGCAGCAACTGATGAGCAAACTCAGTGCAAGGTGTATGAGAGAAAGTGGTCAGAGATGGGCCCACATGGTAGGCTGGAAAGAGGGTGTGGAGTTGCTGTTCAACAAAATGCATTTCACCTGGAAATTCTGAACTGGGAAGGAGGTGGTATTTTGCTTCCTCTTGGTGACTGGCATGGAGTAAAGATGGAGTTTCTAAAAAAAAATGCTAGAGAAATATAAGAGCCTGTGCTGACTGCTGGTGATAATGTTTTCCAGTTCTGCAATCATTAATACTTTCCCTCTAGTCTGAGAACCATCCAAACCTTCCCTGTTAGTGGAGCAGAAGGAGCCTGAGTTAGGGCACCTGAGTTCAAATCCTACTTTTTCTCCTTACCAGCAATGTGACTTTGAGCTACTCAGTTTGCTTTTTGAACGTTTATGTGTTTCACCTCAACAATAAGTATAACACAAACTACATAACAGCAATGCTGCCAAATGACACAATGGGCTTTGTAATACCTAAAGAAATATACAGGGCAGCAAAGCTTTCTAAAAGACCTTTGCTGTAGAATTCTCCTAAGGGCTCAGTGGCCAAAACTGGGTCCCATTCTGCTGTAGCTATAAAAGAGCCTGGGAAGACCAGTACCAAAGACTGGTATTTGGTGACTGGTCTTTGTACTAAAGAGCAAGGGAAAAGGTGATTGTGGGTGGACAAGGAGAGAGCGATGCTGGTGTCTGCCACAGCAGGGGTAACCCGTTCGTGGAGTTTTCTTTCTTCAGCCATTTGTAATAAAGAAATGTGAGAATTCCATTTCTTACAAAAGGTTCAACCCATTCACATAAGGAATCACACACAATGAATAGACACCAAGTGAAAAGGGAAAACAAATCTGTAAATAATGTCCAATGATCCCTGATTATCAGAGCTTTTCAAAGAAATGGCATACTAATTAGCTATTGCTGCATAACCAACCACCCTCAAATCTAATTGCTTAGAACAAAATCATTTCTTATTCTGGCTCATATGTTTGGAGTTGAGCTGGTCTAGACTGGGATCACTTATGCATCTGTGGCAGCTGGGGGCTCTGGGCTAGATGGGGCTTGGCTGGGACACGTTAGCCAGGGTGGCTCTGCTCCACATGTTTCTTGTCCTTCTTCTGGGATTGGCAGGCAAGCTTGGGCATACCCTGCTCATGGAAATGGCAGAGGTACAAAAGAATAAACAAAAACATGTGATACCTATTGAGGCTTAGGCTCAGCACTGGTACAACATCACTCTGGCCTCATTCTGTTGGCTGAACAAGTCACATGGCCAAACTAAAGAGATGAGGAATTATCCCCACCCACAATAGCAGGATACTAAAAAGTGTCATGGCCATGGGGATGAATACAGGGAAGGGTGGAGAACTGGAGCCATGATTGCAAATTGACCACAGGTGCCAAAGGTCTTGCAAGTCATAAAAATAATGTGAGCATCATACTCTAATCCTTCAGAAGGAAGCCATTCTCATTTAGTTTGGAATTACTTAAATCAATAGAGCCAAAGTTCATGGTCACATTTTCTACTCATAGTTCACTTTACATTCATGAAATTGAGACATGAAATGTCCAAGTTCAATTTCGACTCGTACCTATCATACTGATTTACAAGCTGCCCCTACAAATATCTTATGAAAACTAAACTAATGCTCCCTTTGGTTTCTCTTTTGCAGGCTTGATGTGAAGAATTGAAGAGGAAGACAATGGATTAAAAAGAAAATAGCTCACTAAAAATTTTATATATTTGTATGAAGATTATGAACCTCCTGAATGCCCCAGACTCTAGCAGAAATGTCCTGTTTGTACATTTATATCTCTTCCTTCTAGTGGCTGCCCTTCTTACTTTAATTTATCTTCATGTTTGGCACCTTGTAGAACAGATAGTTCAAGAATTCATGTCTTGGAAGGTTTAGTTTTGAGAAGGGATATGATTTTATGAAGAGGGATATGGCAATATGCATAAAAGTGATTTTGGAAGCTCTCTAAGCTACTTCCCGCACTATTTTGGTCATTATTTGGAATGCATTTTAGCTCTTCACCTTCTAAATTATGTCAATAAACTTTTTATGAGTTCAAATAAATATGCAAGTAAATGTAAAATATGAATCAAGACTAAATTAATTATTATATCTTTAGAGAGCTATATATTCCCCCACATGGAGAGAAATGAGATAGAGCCAAGCAAGCCTCACATTGCCTAAGTAGGGGCTGCTCACTCTGAATTATTGGGCACCATAGGTAAAACTATAGCTGATTGATCACTGCAAATGAAGTTAACTATTGCCTGAGGAACTGGTCATCATTGATATTCCTCCTCCAAGGATAACCTTTATGGTGACTGTATTTTAATTCCATAGAGGCTCAGAAGTTCTCCCTGCCCAGATGGGATATAGAGTTCATCACAAGGCTACAATAAAATAAAGCTGAGGGATTAGAACAAAAGAGACAGACAGATCATACCTTAGTTGTCCTAAAAAAGATGAACTGTGTCTTCTGCTGCTAATATGGAGAGTCTCTATTAACTTAGTCAATGGCCAACATGGTCATAAACCAAAAGGAATCACTCATGCTCCTTTAGTCTTCTGATCTTCTCAGATAACCAGGCAATTTCACATGACGAAGATTTGAGGGACCAGGTTCTCAGGATTACAGTATTTTAAACACAAGCGTGTCCCCTACCTGGTATACAGAGACCCAACACTATGACTTTTATCCTTTTCTCAGTGACTGCAATTACAATAAATCAGATGTACTTCTAAACATCCCAAGCAAAATGAGTCTTTAGCTTTTCTATTTCACAGAGAGCAGTTTCCCAAAGCAGGACTATCACTGCACACAGGTGACTGACTGCAAATTCAGTGGTGCCTGAAAGGTTGAGGTTTTTCTGAACAGTCACCCATCTATCTAGTCATGGGTTCCAGACATCTCACTGGAATGTGGCTTAGCCTGGTGATCAAAATATAATAAGATGTGCAGGGCAGGGCATATCAATCAGAACCAAATATGCCAGCCTGATCATCTATCAGCAGAGCAGGTTCTAAATACTAGAGCATTGGTTGCCTTGAGCCATCCTGTGCCTTCCTGATGAGGGGAGTTGGGCAAGATTACAAAGTTTACCTCAGTGTTCCCTTTGCTTATATATAAATAAATCCATGTTCAGTTTCAAAATTAAATTTTGGTTAATGTTATAAAAACTGTCCTTATATTTTAATGCAGCCTCCCAAGTAACATTTGCAGCACAATACAGACCAGAATAATTAGACAAATTAAGTGGACTTTTGAGAGTTTTGTATTTAATATGTATTTTTTGTTGTCATTAAGGCTCAAATTTACTGTGTTTGGGATTTAACAAGTTCTATAGCCCATCATTTGTTGGATAATACATATAATGTATGAAAAGACAGTTCATTTTTAGTGAAGTCATAATTCTAAAAATTCATATTTCATGCAAAATGGCTCTTTAAAAACCCATACATTGTGTTGAAACAGCCTGATTTTTCTTTAGGTTTGTAAATAACCAATTATTATATAACTTTTCTTTGAAGTAAAACAAGGTACAAGTAGTTGAAGGTTGATTAGGAGAGTGAGACAGAGTAAACTATAAACAACACTGGTTTGAGTATTTACAGTAAAGCATAAGGTACAACAGCCAGTTTATAGCACATATGCTGCAATGGGTACCAACTTAAGACACTCCACTGACAGGTGAGGATCTGAATATAATACAACAATCATTCCACCCACACTGCCTGGCTGCCTTCTCCGTGGCAGGCTGTGTGCTAAGTGCTGGGAGGAAAACAGCACATTTAGCCACGTAATCACTTTCCTTCAAACACTCCCACCTTCCCTCTTCACCTCTACCACCACCCCCTCTCTAGTGTGGGATTTTTCTATGTTGTGCTTAAGGTACTGATGAAAGAAGGCCCCATAGGGTTCATAATTGCATGGGGCACATGAAAATCTCCTTTTGGAGCAGAGGCCATCTGGAACAAGCAAGGTTCTCCAGAATTTCTCAACCACTCATATTTTATGGTCCTGATATTTCAAGAACACAGATTGAAAGGTTTAGCTTTCCTCTTCCTGAGTAGGTGAACGATACAGGAGAATTTTAAAAGTTATTCCCAGGGCATGAGGGATGATAATTATCCAAATGCTTCCCTCATTTTTCACTAGAGCAGTCAGAATTTATAAAAGGCCTCCCATTATGATTAGGTCCATATAAGGGCCACCACTAATTACAATGTTCCGTCCTGTGAAACCCCCTCTCCTCCATTCTTGGGCCGATGTACAATTAGCATCCTTTCTCCAAGATAAAACATAGAAAGGTTTATGGGGAAGAGAACAGGACTCAGTGGTTCAAAGACTACAGGTTGATTAATTAAAACTAGTTCTCTTCGAAGGCCTGTGGCATTATCTCATTGCTTGCAACCTTGAAATAGAAACTGCCTTTAATTTGGTAATTAATGCTCCCTTGGAATTTTTAACTTGATGCTTAAAATTTGCATCACTGTGGTCCACAGATAGTTCTTCACCTCACAGACCATTAATGAAAAGTCTGTGCTTCTCCGAAGGTGAGGATTTATTGTCATGACATTCAGACATGATTGTGCGTTCAATCAACAAGCCATGCTCAGAGCAACCAGTAAGGATAATGTGACCTGCCAGCATGTTACTAGGCAAAGAAAACCCTTAGAGTTCATAGGGTGAGTTTCTTTTTTCTCTAAGCAAATAGTTAAACCTGCTTAGATCCCACACTGAAGGCAAATCACACTGTCAAAAAATATGCAGATTGTAAAAGAGGGGATTCATCTATAAAGTAAGATTACAGCCTTAAAAACACCATCACTGAAAGGTATTGTTCAGAGGAGGAAAAACAACCTCAATTAAGCAATCATTTTCATATTCTTGGCCTCATATCTTTCAACTACAATGCTTATTTATTACAGGAGAAAAATACCTCTCATAACATTTGACTTCTCTGCAAAATAATTCAGTGTTACCACTGACTACGAGAGACCATACTATCAAGAGACCAAGGCTCTCTCTTTTTATGACCAGCCCTTCCTTGGTTCAGTGAGGATATATTCAACATGCAGATTCCAGAAGGAAACCCCTTTCCTTGTTGGGCTTCAGATGCCTGCAGAGGAGCTGCAAAGCAAAAGCAAGTCTGTACTCTAAACTCTAATTTTCAAATCTGATTGCAAGTTGGGCAGAGTGACTGGGAAGAGGTACAGGCAGGATTTTATCCTGTTTGCAGGTTGCTTCTATTCTTTAGACATACAGAATAAGGACTCTAGGCTTCTCTAGAAACTATTTCCTTTCCTTAACATTGCTCACACATCTGTGGTGCACTAGACAAGACAGGGTCCTGGAGAAATTTCTGTTCAGAGGCATTTTGGAACAGACCAACATTCAGTCCAATTGCCCACACAAGCCACACTGCCTTACAGCTAATGGCAGGATTCAGGCAAAAAAAGGGTTTTTTTTTTGCCTGAAAAAGGCAGGGGTAAGGTTTTATGCTTTATGTATAGTTTTGTTTTGTTTTGTTTTACACTTTGTCTTCTGGCCCCAGCCACACAGAAAGATTCTTGGGCTTAGGCATTCCTCACTTTCCTCACCTAGCCAGAGCTGAGATTTTCTGCAATCATTGGGAAGCGATGGACATTTGAAGAAGCCAAGGGATACATTTCAATGTCTAGAGGGCTGGATGCCCAGCAGGGCATGGACATTCCTATACAGTATTGGAAATTAGGCCTTGGTAAGTGTCCTAAAATAATATGGGTGAAGAAATTTATAATTTCTTTAAAATGGTACATTGCATTAATTTGATTTTGCAGGCAAGGAAATGGGCATAGTTCTTTCTAGTGCTTAAATATTACCTGTGCATAGACCAAGATGCCTTAAACCTTAAAAAACAAACAAAAACACCAAGAATACCCCAACCCAAACTTATTTTTTTTCAAAATCTAGACAATGATGGCTGAGAAGGAGAGGGTGAAACTCCATCTGGAGCCCAGGCAAATCATACACACATAGCATGGGGTATTTGGAAAGAGGAAATAACCAGGAGAGATGTCCCTAATGAGAGACCCACAGGGCTCCAAACTCTGTAGTTAGATCCTAGTCAACTGCTGGGACCCCCAACCCATAGACTCAATATTTTGGCCCTATCTTGCTTATTGCTTGCTTATTTCCCTAGACTTTTCTCAGCATGTTTTATTTACCAGCTTGGGAAAGGAATCCCCCTCCCCACGTTGCTCTGGAACCTTTCTGTCGGGATAACGGGACTCTGGTTGTAGATATGCCAAATTGACTGTGTGTTAATTTCCTTGGAGACCATGTTTCCACCAGAGGCTTTACCAATATCTGCTACCCTGGAGTCATTCGTTCCATTTGGTCCTGGTTATAAAGGATAATGCCTATTGCTGGCTGGAAAATAAACCGTGGGAATTGGCATGTTTTTCAATGAGAGGTCATAGAGAACAGCACTGGCAATGGCCCATTGTATCCCCCAGAACTTTCGTTTAAAGGCCAAATAGAAGCAATGATCTCTAGCAGATGCACCATTAGGCAAGACCTACATCTGAAAGCTTTGTTGATTCAGACACTCAGTAATTAAGTCGTGGGCCAGTGAGCACATTATCTGCAATCAAACATGTCCCTGATCAGTGATTAGACAGGCAAACATGTGACCTCATTGTCTCTGCAGAAGGATGGTTATGTAACAATCTCTTGGCCTCAAACATCATGGTTATTTGCCAACTTTTGATCCCAGTAAATATTTAAGCTGAAATCACTTGCTGTGCTTCTGGGAATTAGATTTTTAGGACAAGTGATTCTTCCTTGGGAGGCTTGATGCATTTGACCTAATTATTGATGTGCTGGGAGCTCTACAGAGACCCAGACACAAGGTGGGTGGGTCCATGAGAGGTAGGAGCTGCAAAAAATATCTGAGGGGCAACTCTGGATCACATGACTTTGCCCAAACAGAGACATGTCAAAGAATGTCTGTTTTTAAAATTCAGAGCTTTGTTGCTGCATAAAAGTTGGTAAACAGAAAGGTGTGTAGGAGGGAAGGAAGGAGGGAAGGAGAGAGAGACAGA